TCGCCGGGCGCGTGTGAATTTATTTGTTAGGATTTAAGAAATGTAGTACCGATTTTCTAACTTGATGGCGTTAGCGTAGAATCAGAAGTCTATATGGTTGCGTTCCCGGCGAAACTGTATATAACTTAGAAAGATACATATTTGGATGAATTATGAAAGTTTTCTCGTACTTGGTTGTTAAAAGTAGTAGTAGATAGCTGCGTTGTTAGTTGTGGAAATTTCGTCTTTCAGCAATTAAACAGTCTTAATTCTCATTTTGTTTTATTCTGTTTAGGGCTTGGCACCGACTTCAAATCTATGAATAGGTAGCACATAGAATTGATAGTGTTTTATTATTAATATTAAAAGTATTAGCTTCGCGTACGTAAGAGTGCTATTAAAATATCAATTTTAATTACTTATTTGACACTTTTTTGTTTTTGAAGTCGGTTTTTTTAAACGTAGTTTTTTTTATTTTTTACTTTTTAGTATCTGTTACAAGTTCTTCTGTAAACTACAGTAACATTTTAAATATAAATTAACATATTGAATAGTATATACTTTTTAAGTAGCTTTGTATACCTAGGCCTATGAAAGGAGCCGCTCGATAAAAAAATATAGATCTCAAGAAACGGGAAAGTTCTCATCATCATCATCATCATCTTCAGCCATTTTAATGTTCCCACTACTGGAACACAGGCCATCTCTCTAGGAAAGTTCTTAACAATATAAATTAAGTCCAAACACGAGGTAGCTACTGTAAACCGTTGAGGAGTTCCCTAGACTGTCCTTCGTCTTTATCATCTGATCCCTGATGACAGTCACAATCCATCTAGATGTAAAGTTCTTATCAAAACGAATTAATTAAGCTCAAACACAAGAAAGCTGCTATGAATCGTTGAGGAGTTCTCTCGACTGTCTCTCGGTTCCATCCGGAATTCCCTCGACGGTCAATGGTCTCCATCATCAGGTAAACTGCAGACCTTCAGTTGTTATAATACATACAGGTACAAAGTTGTCATCAATATAAATGAATTAAGTTCAAACACGAAGTAGTTACTGTAAACCGTTCAGGAGTTCCTTGAGCTGTCCTTCGTTCTCATCATCAGACCCTTAATGACAGTTACAACCAAGCCTGCTGCAAAGTGCTCGTCAATACAAATCATTCAAGCCCAAACACAAGGCAACTACTTCAAATAGTCAAGGAGATCCCTCGACTGTCTTCCAGCTCCAACATCTGGTCGACTTCGATCTTCGTCAAGTTGTAGTGTTGATAAAGGCCTACTTAAACATCATACAAAAACACTACTCGCCCCTACAATTTTCGAAAGTTCCCCTCGGTTTCTCCAGGATTCCATCATCAGATCCTGACCTCATGACAATGGGACCAAATGGCAAGTATACCCTATCGAATAAAAAAAGAATTTTGCAAATCGGTCCAGGCGTCTTCGAGTAATCGGTGTACATACATAAAAAAAAAAAAAAAAAAAAAAAAATACTCGTCGAATTGAGAACCTCCTCCTTTTTTGAAGTCGGTTAACAAATAATAACTTCCATTATAATATATGAATAACTAGTACAAAAAATATTCACACTTAATTAAAAAATACGCTGACGTAATAAGGTCATTGTGACATGATTGATTTGATGACGTCACGATAATATGTCACATTGATAACGTCCAAATATCCGCATATACTTTTTTTAAGTATGAGTCATACTGAAAACTAATTGATGCTTTTTGTATTACCTATCGGACTATACATAATATGAAAAAAAAAAACTTATGTTATTCCCAGCGATATTAAATCCCATAAAGAATTAGATGTTTTTTAAAACTCGCACTAACGAGATCTCCTTCTCTCAAAATAATCGCCATAAATTGTTGTGTAGTAACTATGTAAGATATAGGAAATTACTGATTCGCACAGTGTACAAGTACCTCACTGATGACAAAAGAATAGCTACTTCCGAAATTCCAACTCTGTTTTTTTTTTAATTCTGAGATTAACCGTTTTTCTGATTATAAAACAAAGACAACAAAAAAAGGATGTCCAAATTTGGCATATTTTTTAGGCGTTGTTGAGTTATGCGCTTTCAGCACATTAAGCTATACATTTTTATAATATAGAAAGACAGAAGAATAACGACTCACTCTATAGTGAGTGAATTACACGAGAAAAGGTCTACGAGCTTTGCGCAGCCGGCGCTTTTAGGTTAGGATTTCTAGTAGCTGCGCAGGCGACGTCGCAGCGACGCGACGGGTAACTTTTCTCATTTCATTCTCGTAAGTCATAATCTATATCTATACATAGGTATATAAAAAAAGAAATTCGTGTAAGTTGCACTATTTATAACTCAAGAACAGCTGAACCGATTTGGCTGAAAATTGGTAGGGATAGGTAGCTAAGAACTGGGAGATGGTCATAAAATAGGGTAGAGTGGTAGTGTAGGGTAGGTAGAGCAGGGTCGGTAAGGTAGTTAGGGAAGATAGGTAGAGTAGGATAGGTATGAAGGGCAGATAGAGTAGAGTGAGAAGTGTAGGAAGGTAATTAGGTTGGGTAGTGTAGGTAGGTCAAATGACGGGTGCAAAGCCGCGGGTATGAGCTAGTTTTTAATAATATTCAATAATTTTCAATAAATAAACCTCCATAAACTCACCAAACAGGAAAATACATCCTAGATTCGGTTAATCAATACACCTGAACAATAATGATTATAATCGTCTGTTCCTGGTCAATAACATGCAACAATTGAGTATTACGTAAATAGCTTCAGGACCCATGAAAAGGGTCTCCCGAACAAAGGCTTCGGAACATTTTCCCATTGTTATTATGCCGAAACAAAGAATAGCCCGGTACAAATCATTTGCTTCCCAATTGTTGAGCTATATCTGATGAACGGTGTTCAATAGATTGGGAGAGAGAGATAGTAGGAGTAGAAGTTTCTATTTTTCTCTTTCAATCCTAATGCGACTTGTAATTTATGTGGTGGAAAGTAGAAAATCTTGTTTTTATAATTACTATCGTAAGACATACTAAATTATTTAAAAATCGCGGGTTACTCACGTGTATATATTGAGAAAAGCTCTACACCGCGTCCGCGCACGCTGCTCATGAGGAAGAACCCCTCTGTGGTTCGAAACTAGTAGATCTTTTCTCAATTACACACGTGAGTAACCCGCGACTTTTAGTTAATAGAATATCTTGTTGTTTGTCTAGGCGAGAGTGAGACAGAATATAAGATTTTTTTCTTTTTGTTATAATGTGACTGGTAAAATAACAAGTTAAAACAGATTCTATCTAAGCCCTTTAGAAAGCAAAATACAAACGAAATTACAATATTATTTTGGTTTATTAATTTTATTACAATTCGTCAACAACAGTCGTACCTTTAAAACGTAACGGAAAATATATCAGTCCATCGTTATCAGATGGAGAAGACATTAATCACCCCGGATGATTTTAAACTTATAAAGTAACATTATAACTTCATAATTACTTTAGAGAAGCTATCTTGTGTCTAAATAGTCTTAAAAAGTTCATATATAGTATAACTCAAGAAATTTTAGATTGAAACTTGCCTTTTTACAGACTATTTTACACACTATCATTACAAACAGATCCTGGCAAAAGTCACAATACAATTATTAATTACAATACTCAAATAGTACGTCACCGAAGCGCCGTCACAATCAACAGCCCTCAGCCAGCTCACACAGGGCTGTAAGGGCACAACAGTGGCACGAGAGCCCTCAGTCACCTCACGTGCACTCCACCGACCACGTATCGACCCGTTGCAATCGCTATTAAATCCTTGCTAACAATGATATACTATAATAGATAGGTTACATAAACAACATTCGGTTTTCAAAAATGGCACACTGATGCACACATGAACAATTCGTATGATTAGACGTCAAAGTGGGATGGAATGATTCAATAATCGCGAATGAAAAAGGGACAAATATGAAAAAGTGTGGCTTGTTAGCAACATTTTAATGTATTACTTGCTGAACGCTTATGACCTATCTACACCTTTATACTTATAATATCAATGCTTGCTAACATGTTCGTTTTATTTTTTATTCAAGGAATATTGTATCTATATACATTATGACACAATAAAAAAACCATTGGTCGTATGAGGTTGCGGGTCCAACGCAATATACTGGTTTGGAGTAAGAGAAGGAATGGGGTGATTTTAAGTCAGTAAGAGATTGACTTTCCCTCTCTCTCCACTTAGGGCAACTATAAAAGAAAGGAAAAGTTATTGAAGATTTTCTTAAATTTTCACACAAAGATTAACAAAAAGCCGATCACCAACAGTATTTGTTGACCATATAGTTTGATAGCAACCCTGTCGAAAGCCGGACAAAACACTAGAGCAGGGGGACCTTTCAAATAAATTGCGGACAACGACAATGGCTTCGGTTTCACCAAATTCATTAGTGTGTAGTTTAATGATCCCGGCTCGTGTTCCATGTATAGTCGTGTATCAATATTCAATTTGATTGTTTTGTCAATTTGAGAGGTGGAATTATGTATTAATAGGTACTCTGCTTTTTGATATATACTCGTAGTTAACTAACTGATTGTAGGGTGTTGTCAGTAGGTATTGTTTATTATTAAAAAACGTTGCCCCACAATAGTAATTTGTTCCGAGTCGTGGGTGCGTTTACAAAAATACAAGTTCACATACATACACATCACTCGACACCAATTTTTGTGGCTCACATTAATAGTTGTTTCGTCTGGGAATCGAGCCCGCGACGTGTAGCACAACAGTCGCTTGCCTCGCCATTGCCCAAACCATAAAGTTGATTTTGATTTCTTTATCAAATATAGGATCAATTTGTTCATTTATCCTCACTAAAACTCAAAAACTAGACACAGACTGACGAAAACAAATAGAAAATTAAATGACTATTATTGCAGGCGAGGGTGGAAAACAGTACTAGTTTACAATATAAATGAGGTTGGTTTTTGATATATTGGCACATATTTCAAGTTAATGGGCTAAATAAACGACAGTTCATGTTAAACAATACACTGGAAACGACAGAACTATGTCATGAACTAATTACAAATAGCTTTTTAATTAGTTTAAAGGACATGGCCAACTTTTGTATGGGCGTTTGCATAGTTATTGAATTCAATGTACATCAATGATTTTTGGTGTTTACATTCGTGAATATTATTAAATTAAATTGCAATAAATGAAACACATGAAGAACTCGTAATTATAACAAACAAGACGAAAATAGTTTCACTAAACCTTTAGTCAGATTACTGGCCGTAAGCGCACGAAATAAGATTTTGCTTTTAAAAACCATGGCGTTTTAATTATTTATTTATTTATTTATAAAATAAAACAAAACAATATGTATAAAGAATAATGATTTATTTATTAAGGAGAACAAATAAAATAAAACTACGTAATAATTCACTTTCATATTTTTATTATAAAGTGTATTTTATTATGTCTGTGTATGGAATGTACGTTTCTGTAATATATATTCTGTATAATTGGGTAATAATATGGTAGTACTTTCCATTTGAAGCGGCCTGCTTAAAACAGGTGGTAATGGTGGTGGCTCTGGTGGGCTAACCACTTGAATATAAGGGGCTGCTGCATTGTTGTCCGAACCCAATTCCTGCAAGTTTCGTGATAAGTCCTGCACTGTCTGTCTATTTGCCCGCATACAGCACACATGACAAACATAGTTGCTTCTTGAGGTCTGAAAATAAACCCCAGTTAGAATAAACACGTTTTCAAGTTTTATGTTATTGTACAGTGAGAAGTATTATGTTACAACATGCCTACTTTAAAGAAGTCTATGCAAACATGGAAAATACATAAAGATAGATATTATAATTACACATACCTACTATGAGTACTTTTTTAATATAGATTAATATAGATAAATACAAGTACATATATAAAACAATGAATAAAAAACAAAATGCTTACCACATTAATAGTATTTTGTGATATTAGGCCAGCTAGCAATGGAGAGTCCATACTGACATTATGGTGTCTTATTTTTCGAACCGATTTTCCACAACCAAGGCAAGCCATGTTATGCCCCAGTAGTCTCTCATGTTCACCAGCCTCAGTATTCAATAATAAGAAGCGTGGTTGACAAATGAATGTCCCCAGAGGAAACTAAAAAAAAGATGCACTATTTAAAATCGCATACCATTATAAAACATAAAAAAACAGACTAAGTATTATACTATTCCGACTTCATACCTGGGTTTGAGCTATGGTTAACCAACGTGAAAGTTTTGTTTGATGGTGTGCAGAAAGCGAGGATATAAGACGCCTCTGCAGCCTTTGTACGCCTATTCCGCAGTTGATGCACCTCATCGTAATCCACAAAACAAATCCAAAACGCAAAACAATTACTCCAGTATTCTAAGCAAGATTAACAAAAACACGCTGTCAAAAGTGTCAAACACGTTCCGTTTCGTTTAAGTTTTTTTTTTGGTGAATTGGATAAAAATAAAACATAATATTATTATAATATGAGTATATTTTAAAATGCAACTAAAACCAATGAATACAGTTTCGTATGAATAAAATGTTCCCAGTGTTTGTTTTTTTTTTCCATTTGTCGATCATATCACACGTTTTCTACGAGTGTAGTTTAAGACACGTGGTTTGGAATTGGAACGTCTTTTTATTTATCTTTCTCTATGGACTATTATAACGAAACTTGACAAACGATAAGTTGATTTTGTTGAATTACTTTTACATTTTTTTAATAATAATTGTCAGGTCTGGAGAGGCTAAAAACTACGTAATAATTCATATTTCTATTTGTATTTTACAGTGTATTAATTTTGTTCGTGTACGTGGAATGTACTTTTTTGGCCATGTCCTTTGGTTGTTGTATATGTACAGTGTGTAGTGTGTTGTATGTATGTTTTTTAGTTACACTTGCTTTTGTCCGCGACTTTGTTCGCGCGGAATAGTAACTTCCTGCAGATTTTTGGATAAAAAATATTCTATGTCCTTTCTCGAGTTTCAAACTATGTCTCTACTGCGGCTCCGGCCCGGAGCAGGATCCGGTACGGGCTGGTTTTGCTGGTTTCTTTTTTATGGAATTAGTCAGCAAACGAGCAGAGCAGCGTTGTGTTTCGTCGTGTGAGTGAGGCTACCGGAGGTCCAATCCTCCTGGATCAAACCACTTGATGATTTTCCTCATCAAAAAACAATGATCTTTCGTTTGCAATCCCGTAATAATAAGAATTTGAAAATAAGCCCCATAATACTCAGTCCCGGGCCTGAGGATCGATACTGAGACCTCTTACTTTCCAGTAACACTTGAGACTTCTCGACCGAAGCAGGTACTCTATTAACTTTTGTGAAACATCTAGACGACAAGACCTCATTCAGTTCATTTTTTATTTTTTTATTCTTTTTGTAACCGTTTTCGAAAGTGGACGAAAATTAATTACAACCGTCCGCTATTGAGACTTGCGTACAATGAAAAGTGAATTGTTTTCTGTTAAGAAATCAAATGTTATCAGCCGCAATTCTTTACTTGGTTTACTTTTCAAAACCAACTTTGATTAACTGCATGGTTGGCGTGGTAGCTGGAAATCTGGCTTCCCGGCAATTTGTCGCAGGTACAAATCAAACGACTCTTTGTTTAACCTACGAATAGGTTTTCATGACACAGGAAGAAGTACTTACCTACTAAAGTAATAAAAACAAAATAATTTGGGAAAATGACTCTTGATTTGTTCACGTTACAAGACCCACTCAAGACTTACTTAGACTGATGATTATGTTAACAAAAACGCATTGGCGACGTACAAAAGCGAGCTTAATGCTGTGGTCTCACGACATCGCTTGTCAACCACGAAGTCCTTGCTATGAATCACTAGCCTTTCATAAAAAAGACTTTATCCTTGTCACTAGAATAAAGAGTATCGAGGAGGTTTTACTGCTTGTACCCATGCAACGAAGTAATAGATGCAAAGAGTCAGTGGAAACTGGAGGTCTACCTGTATTTTATTAGGCGTTGTTCATTAAAATAATGTAGTGTACATTTAAATGTGATTTTAAAATATTTGTTTGATATTTGTAATGTTTTAAGCAGTACCACGTTTGCTTAAGGTGAACTGATGATTACAAACTTTAATAAGTTATTAGTCCAGGCTACTTCACTGTAGTGGGTCCAAGCACAGTAATGAATGAGGAATGAATGGGGAAGTTTTTTAACCATAAGAGTCTGACACTCCCTCTCGTCTCACCCAGGATCAAGCCATTTGAAGATTTTTTACCCCTCAACAAAAACACTTTACATATGAAAAATGAGCGCCTAAGCTTCCTGGACATTGCAACATATTTACATTACAAAGTCTTTTAACAAAACTAATGACACTTTGATCAGAAAAAACCGTTCCATTGAAATTTGCTTACATTTCAGAACCCGGTCTTACAACATTTGCACAACTTACCTAGACACTACTTCTTATCTATTAAGGTAAATACACAAACTTCACTAGCGAATGCGATTCGCCGTATCTATACGACAATTTATTCTACGGTGCTAGTTCCGACTTAGTACCAAATAAATTGTACCGATAACATCACAAACATAAAGAATTTTTATACCGGGACGATAGGGTTAAGTTGTAAGTTTATTACGAAGAAGGATACAATAAACCGTCCCATGTACATAAACTATTTTGTCTAAAACAACTTTTGTAACTGGCAACTTGGAAATATTGTATTCGAATTTCGTATTCTGTAGGTAACTTTATGTTCCATGTAGTTCTGTCTTCTTCTTTAAATGTGAAAGTTTGTATGGATGAATGAATGATTGCTACTCTATCTCCCTCACACTAAGAAGTGCAGAACGGATCTGGTTGGAATTTGGCATGGATATAGAATGTATAGTCTGGAAAGCGCTTAGGCATTTTACCCCGGCGCTGGCCGAATGAACTTTAGAAGATTTTTTTAAAACAATCTCTACGTGTTACTGTCTTGATGAACATACTTTCCTTCCCAAGTTTATTGAAGGTATATTTTCAAGTGAAGCCAATAAAATTATTACTTAAAAGAAAATTGGATTAAACTTTAAGTTTGAGTATAATAATCTACATACCTATACCTATATATGTATATAGTCTACAATATCATTAAACACTGATCAAACAACATCAAAACCTACCTATTAATCAAATTAAACAACAATGTGTACAGAACATACACCCCTATACGCCTTGGTATACGGGTGTATATTGTGTGAGGGGTAAACACATCAGTGCTTCGCGTGCAAGTAACACTTACACTGTTTGTCAGCCTCCCGTGACTTCCCTGTATACCAACAGACAGTTATATATCAACGTATGTACATACCTGCCATGTACATTTAGCTACGTACATAATAGCCTATAGTTCAATTTTACACTTTAACACATTTAAAATTAAGGTTCCAAATTGTATTTCAACTCTTCGTAATTTTTTTTGGAATTAGAAAATCATCTATTGATTTCTCCCGCCTTATATACGAAAGGGAGTGTCAGACTTTTACTGACTAAAAATCACCCTGTAGGTACATTATCGCTCACACTCACAACCCTGGTAAGTTGAGTAGGTTTTCTTCAAAGTAAAGCAATAAGAGATACTTTGGGTCCTTGTCCTTACTAGGAAATTAAGGTACCCGTTATAGCGTTACAGGTTTAGTAAATACTGTTTCCACTGGTTGCGAGAGTTTTCAGTTTATTACAATAATCACAAATAGGTTTGAATACGTAACATAAACGAGAAAAGAATGGAAGGTCATTTAAGTTCTTTAATTAAGTGGGACTTAGCATGGAATAAGATTCAGCCTTCGGTATCCTGCTCATATAACTCAGGGATGTGGCTGTTTCATGCTGGTTTTCTGAGGCTATGGTATGACTTCGGTCAAGCCGACCTATTCGTGCCGAAACATGGCTCTTACACAATAAAAATCCACAAACGACAGCACAGCTATTCTTTGATTACAACTATAAGTTATTATAGCAGACGTGCCTTTACATAATTTAGGGTCACAAAACCAAGTCGACCTCTAACTGACACTGTTCCAAAGAACGACAATAAAACGAAGAGTTAATGTCAACGAATTAACTGTTAATGCGAATACAACTCACGAAAATGCGAGTTTAACAAGACTTGGCAAACTGAAATCCATAGTTTTTACACCTTTTGTGCAAATTACACCTTTACACATTAACCTTGGAAGGGAAACTAGACCAGGGTTATCGATTTTTCGCAAAGTCTAGTGTTGGGAACTCACTGTAGTTTAATAAGTTGTGATATATACTACTATACTTAATGTCAAGTTTAATGTTTGTCTGTTACCTCTACACAAGTTCTTGCCAATTTAATCTTACTTACCTGCTAAAGCTTAATTTATGTCGATTTGGAAATTATGATGATTGCAATTCGAGATGGTTTCGCCTTAGAACTACGCTTATGGGTATACTATTTCAAATTAGTAAGCTCTGCTCCTTTGTCATAAAAATGGTTTATGTGAGAAAAAATATTCCGAAATGATGTTTACAATTGAATCTTTGTGGTTTCAAAGATCTGACATCACATTAAACAAGAATAATGAACAAAGTCTTCATTCTAAAACCAAACTCCGACAAAACAAGAACTAAATCAAAACGCCTGCCACAAACGGTACTTACTGCGAACTAAAAGCCCCCAAACTACACGTTAAGTAACAAAATTCGCGTGTAAAGCCATCGCATAAAAATTAAACGAACAAAAAAAAGGTTAGCGCTAAAAAGTACCAAGTGAAAAGTCTCCGTGGTTTCCCGCCATAACATTCTTTTGTTTGGGACGGCAATTATTTTCAACTGCCACGAGTCCACGAACCAGGGTTGGTAAACGCTTGGATTCAGATACTTTCTATTTTTATCTGTGACCGGTTTTGGCGAAAAAAAACTGAGGAAAACGAAAACGTTTTCGTTTTTATGGTTCTCAATTTTACACATACGTGCGCAAAGACTTTTATTTTTACTCAAAAAATTCCATTCCATTCAAGTTTAGTAGACTTATGACATGATTCGTATAATTGTTCCGAATTTAAATAGATTCTCATACATAATGCCGATTTAATTGGCTCGTTGGAAATAGAACAGAATCAACGTTATCAACAGCGTTACAATGTTATCGAAATAACTCAAAGCATTGACATACTTAGTATGAAAAGGTTGCCTAATAATAATAAAATGACGATTTCTTACAAAAAGGTTCATGCTCATTATACATTTTACGTACAGAAATTATCCTAACAATACAGATTGTGTATTATATTATTTTACTTTAGGTACAACCTATTTTGAGAGTGTAATACCTAG